CAGTGAGCACCTTCCATAATACTGGTGACGATGATACCATTATGGAAGTAGAATATTTTGGTCTTGGAATTAATTTAGGAAATGTAAACAATTAAGCTGAAATAAGAGAGATAGAAACATAAAAATCTACAGTGCAAAAGGAGGCCATTAGGCCTATCGAGACTGCACCGGCTCACAGAACAAAGACATCACTTCAATCCTACCGTCCCATTTTATCCCCATAGCGATTCAAGCACCTCACTCTCAGATGCCTATATACTTCCCTTTCAGGTGCCTATCTACTTCCCTCTTGAAAGCTACAATAGACTAGGTCTCGTCCACCCTACTCAGCAGAACGTTCTACATCCCAACTATTCTCTGGATGAAAAAATTCCTCCTAAGTTCTTCTTTTGTTCTTCTTGTGGCTATCTTACAATTATGTCCCCTAGTTACTTACTTCCCATCAATGGAAATAGGCTCTCTCTAACAAAAACCCTCATAATTTTATAGATCTCAATTAGATCGCCCTCAACCTTGTCTGCTCCAATGAAATAACATTAGTCCTTCATCTCTGGAATCATTCTTCTAAATCTCCTCTGCACCCTCTCCAAGGCCTTAACATCTTTCCTGAAGTGAGGTGCCCAGAACTGGATGCAAAACTCCAGGTGCAATGATTTATACAAACTTAGCATAGTTTCTCTACCGTTGTACTCTATGCCCCTGTGTATAAAAACATTCAGCATAGCATTAGCCTTCTTTAGCCTTCTAATCCAAATTCAACTATTTTCCTGTAAAATAAAAGAGAAGGGGTGAGGAGAATCAGTTGGGAAGTCAATGTTTTGGATTTTATTTAATAAGACAGCGAGCGCCGGAAAGTACCTGAGACAACTAATTAGAAAAAGGAAGTAGAAGTGAGCCCAGCCTCTTGTAAACATCAAAGGTAAAAGTGAATCTTCACGTCCTTTTCTTCTGCCCCAGATTCCTTTCCTGTCTCCCTCCCCCCACATCACCCTTGCCATCCTGCAGCTGTTAGCTCGACTTGTATATCACAGTGTTAAACTTGCCTCCTCACAGCCCATAAACTTACAGTGAATCATCATGGGCAGGTGTCAGCATTTTTTTATATAAGTCTTCTGTTCTGCCTCTCTACCCTACCCACTCCCCCCCCCCACCCCACCCCACTGAGATGTTGACAATAGTAGCTTGTCTGAAGGTGAGACACTTATTTTTCAGAGAGGGACCATTGACACCACACATACCCTTCACTTTAAGCTGGTTTAATGACCTTGTTCACTATTGCCAGGGCCTAAAAAATGAATGGATTAAAGAACAGGTCTGCAGATTCAGAAGAGTCAACAAAAGAGCACAGCCCAACTGAAACTATTGCCATTGTAAGTGTTTAACAAAACACCAACGTGAAAGAAGGCTGTGCACTTGCAGAATCATTTGAGACTGACCTGTAAATAGTCTGGGGGTAAGTGATGGTAATGAGCTGGAACAGTTTGGTGGCAATCTGCCTAGATCAAGCCTTAACGGGTATAAACAGTACAAAATGCATAGTCAATCCACTTTACAGTATATCCGTTGAAGCATTTTGAGATGTCTCCAAGACGCGATAAAGCGCTATATCAAATGCAAGGGTTATTATTATTATTATTGTCAATTCACATGAAACTCCTACTCACAATTCTTGCCTATGAGCTCAAGTCCAAACTTTAGGCTTATACCCACAATGTTCTGACTGAGATGTGAAAGTATTAATAACTGAGCGAAACTGACACCTAGATATATGTTAAAAAAGTAAAAAGTAAAAGTTTCAGGCAGGAGGAGGTGATTGAACCATCTAACCTACCTGTTCCAATTCCTTAAATAATTCCATTCAGACACATCCATCTCATCATCTAATAAGTCTAAATCCTTTCAAATTCCGTTTGGCTCAATGGTGCACTCTCGCCTCAGAGCCAGAAGGTTGTGGGTACAAATCCCACGTCAGGAATTGAACTCACATAGTCTAAGTTGTCACTCCAATGCAGTGCTGGGGAGTTGTTGCATTGTCTGAGGTGCCGTCCTTTGTATGAGATGTTAAACCAAGGTCCCGTCTGCTTGTTCAGATGGACTTTAACGATCCTATTGTGCTATTCGAAAAGAGAAGAGAGTTTCTCCCGGTGCCCTGGCCAATAACCCCCAAAATAAAATTGGTCATTCATTTCATGGCTGTTTGTGGAATATTGATGTGTGCAATTGGCTGCTGTGTTCGCCTACAAAAAAATACAAGGTTACTCTAATTCACAATAAATTCTGTGAAGTACTTTGGCGCATCCTCCTGATGTGAAAGGCTTTGTGCCAAATGCAAGGATAATTATTATTTGCTCACACAGTCAACACTGTCTGAAATGACCTCAGTACAATATTCAGAAATAGCAGCGTACAATTTATTTCAGCAACCTGATCCAAATGATTAGAATGTCAATTTCATAAGGAGGATAAATAAGTAGGATAAAGCTGTGAATAAATAAAATTGATCATTCACTTTGTGGCTGTTTGTGGGAGATTGCTGTGCTCAAATTGGTTGCCTTGTTTGCCGACAAAATACACTTTACCGTATATCCTGTGAAGCACTGTCAGATTTCTTCCTGGTGGGAAAGGCACTATCTTAAATGTAAGGATTATTATTAACAGACAATGAAGGTCCCGACTTAATCTACGAGGATCTAACATGCTCCTGTTCCAAGCAATGGATGTAAAAAGTGTGAGAGCTAGTGAAGAGCACATGGGAAACCCTATTTTTTATTCCAGCTAACCTTGAATACTTTATTCGTAAAAGCTTAATGCTTGTCTAAAACATCAAAAGTCACCTTGTCTTGGCTTGTAAGATTTTTTGTCTTAAAATTTAAGATTGCGCAGAGTTTGTGGAAAATTCTTAAATTCAGTCTTATTTAAATGTCAGTTTTTCTGCAGTTCTTGACAAGAACTGGCTTTCTAATTAAGACTGAATTTAAATATTTCCTTTCCATGGTACTGCATGATCTTGAATTTTGAGACAAAATCTAAACTAGGTGAAATTTTGGACCTCAAATCATTCTTTTACCATGAGAGAAGTTAGAACTCTTATTCTTTAAGTATTGACTAGAATCTTTCAACAGAAGGCTTGAATGTAAAGTATTTGCAGGGTTGAACTGAGCAGGATTCCCTGAAAGATATTTGATTTAAATCCTGCAACACAGTCGAAGGAGCACAGGGGTTGAAGGGATATCTGGGGCTTGACTAAATTCACAAGTGTTTAGAATGCATCACCTTTCTATATCCTTACACTTGCCTACATTTTCAGCTTTTTGCTACAGTAAGGTTAACTTTTACAGTGGCTAAGAAAACTGCTGATGGTTGTGGGCTTTACAAACTGTGGGTTTGTCACACAGTAGAGTTAAAGATTTTCCAGTGCTTGTTAGATTCTCAGTGTTTCTAATGTTGCTGCAATGTTACTATCTGCTCTTTCCTATGAGAAATCAGACTGCAAACTTCATATTTTTCTAAATATTTCTTTAAACACTTAATATTCTGGTAAAACTTCACGGAGAATATGCCCATGTTGAACAGCAACTATTGTTACAACATCTGATGACTTTTAATCAGACACTGATTAAAAACACAGTCGAAGGAGTCTGACCTGCACAAAATAGTGTAGTGACTGTGTGTTTTGTGGGCAAATAAACACCTCGAAAGATAAACCTGTAATGCCAAATACTGCACAGGTTACATATTTCATCTACCCTCACTAAAAGACGTTTGAGATGCCTCCTTCAGTGTTTCCTTTGGGGGGGCGGAGTGGGGGTGGGGGTAGTCTTAAATGCTCCTAGACATTACCCTACGTGAAAGGTTCTATATAAATGCAAGTTGCTGTACTTCAATTAAGTAAAATGCCTAAACATGCCACAAACACGACTACCACAAACATGACTGTTTGTGGGACACTGCTGTGCGTGATTGGCCGGCGCGTGTCACCCCCAAAATATACAGTCAATTCACTTTACAGTATATTCTGTGAAGAGCTTTGAGACGTCTTGAAGACATGATAAGGTGCTATATCAAATGCAAGGATTATTATGTCCAGCTCTGTTTTCTTTGATTTTTCAGGAAAATACTAACTGTGTTCCTTGTATTTTAAAGCTGGATTGAGCTTCTCATGGGGAGCATGAGGTGGGGGGATGGCCTACAATGGTCAACCTCTCACCCAAACATTGTGACAAACTCGGGGGGGGGGGGGGGGGGGGGGGCGGAGTAGCAAGAGGTCACTCGGAGCCAGTCATCGACTGAGGCATTGACATGGGTGGAATTTTTGACAATGTGCTAATATCATCAATGATAATTATTGCATCACACATCACCATTTTTCTCCCCACAGAGGATAGCATCCCACCTGCCAGGGCAAAGGGCTGCATAGGCAGTTAGTGAGTAATGTCCCTGCCAATTCTTCTGACCGCCAGGCTGGCTTTTGTTTACCCACTTTTTAGCAGGCTCTAATGTAACCCTGCTTCTGTAGCACTGAGTTGACTTTGACAGTAACATGTGAAAAAATATTCTCAAATAACAATCCGACCCAGTATGCCTTTCTACTTCGGCACCACTACACACAAGTTGAGATGGTGGCGTTCCCCATCAGCCCCCTCCCCTCCCATTTTCTTACAGATTTCTTTAATCTGTCTTCAGGTTTTGCAAATGTATCTCTTCAACAATACATGCAATGTGTTACTGCTCTTTATCTCCTAAGTGTCAAGAAGCAATGGCTAATGCTAGATTCCCCCCACCCTCACTGACACTTCATTCACAAGAGCTTCAATTTCCCTCCTGGGATTTGTAGGAGGGAATCCCCCCCCTATGGATCCAAGCGGTATTTTCAGCACCTACTCACTTTAGGTGACAACAATTAATTAGCTGGAGAGGAAAAGAAGTATTAATCCCAACACTGGCCATTGTAGCTGCCACTGAGAAACACAGTTAAATGGGGCTGCAGGTTTGGCACCTACCTTAGGAAACATTTGCTCAATTCCTTCTTGCACTTTCTTTTGTTTGCTCTCGAGATGGTTTATGCATTGGGACGCTGGTAATCCTGGGAGCCCACCCTGTAAGGTTAAGAAATGGGGTTGAGAGGAAAAACTCGAGTGAACAGTTATTTGATTGAAAAGACTCTGAGCATGATGCTTGGTTCAAGAATTCATTATTTTTAGAAAATCACAGACGTTGAGAATATTCACCTTAGTAATGTTTTTGCAAATGGTTGCTAATCAACGGTTTAACAAGATTGTAATCATTGATATGGAGACCCTTTTTATGCAATCACTAATACACTTGAACAGAAAGCACATTGAAAGAGAATACAACAAAAACAGCATTAACACTGTGGCCTGCTGTTTGGTGATCTCCAGGAAGCATCAGAGACAGATTATTAGATTGTTATTAGTATAGTTAAATAAACATTAAGAGTGTAATGCTTACAGCATGTTGTGGAACCCAGGTGTAATATTCCCCTCCACATTCTAAGTCCAGCAAAATAATACCTCAAGTAGGAGTTACATAACAGTTTACAGCTGATAAATTATAAATGCGGTGTCTGTACATTCCATTGTAAAAGAGCAAGTTGCGACCACATTTTAGAACCTTTATAGTGACTGATGTTAAAGCTCACTTTACATAGAGCTAAATTTAATCATAGTTAGAGCTTCATTAAAGTTGCCTAAAACAAAGTAGTTTAGTCTAGATTTAGCAGCCACTTGATTAGTTCAGTTTTGGTGTAAATGAAAAGCAAATCCTCTCCTTAACTCAGTGGGGAGGGGTCACATTCAGTGCACACTAGCTGAGATCAAATAATAATAATAATACTTGCATTTGATATAGAGCCTTAATTGGTCATTGAGTCATCTCAAAGCACTTCACAGAATATATTGTAAACTGGACTGACTGTGTATTTTGTGGGCAAAAATGTGAAACATTATCCCTTCAGTGTTAATGGGTGAGATTGGTATAAAACGTAATACTGGATAAGGATCTATAAATATTGAGTTGCATACAGGCATTATAACATTTAATGGTAGGCACTGTTTTATATCCAATGCACATAATGGGACTTGGCTAAATCTAACCACTGTAACGTTTTAACTCCCTTGCAGTCAAATTCTGTGGGTTGGCGTGAATGCATATCCAATTATCTGAATGCATTTGATATTTAAGATTCTTTCTTGATTCCTGCTGTGTACACCACATTTTAGCCACCAGTACAGGGAACACATGCGATACAATGGCCTCACACTCACCCGCATACGGAAAAAAGAAGCCAATTGGAAATAGTAATTCAGTAAATGACATGCTTGTAGCAGTATCAACGCATACACAATGTGCTGAAAACACATGTTGCGTGCACACCCTCATGATCAACCACAACAACAACTTGCATTTATATTGCACTGTTTACATGGGGTAGCATCTTGGAGCACTGAGCCCACATGGAGCCCACATGGAATCCTTTGTTTGGTGCAGAGGCCTGATAGCAGCTTCTGATAGTCAGGCACTTCTCAGGCATGCTGTTCTCCCACCTCTGCTAACTTTGTTTTGCTTCATATCTGATTCCATGTGAGCTCTAGAAAGAAACAACCATGTTATAGTCCCTTTGCACTTGCAGAAATCTCATAGTTCTTTAGAAGTGGCAGTGTTTTGTAGACAAATACAGTCATGAAGAGGAATGAGCTACGAGCAATGATTAGACAAGCTAGGACTCTTCAGTTTTGAAACAGTCGGGAAGTGAGAATTGTTGGCCAGGACACTGGAAGAAACTCTTCTCTTTTAGATTGGTGGCACAGGATCTTTAACACTCCCGTTAACAGGCAGATGTGACGTCGGTTTAATGTCTCATCTGAAAGAAATGTACCTCTGACAATGTAGCCCTCTTCCAATATTGCAGAAGAATTTCAACAACAACAACTTGCATTTATATAGTGTCCTTCATGCAAGAAGTCTTGAAGCTCTGCATGGTGAGATTGGATGCTAAGCAAGGGATAAGGGTCAGGTGAAGTTGACCATAGGTGCGGTCGAAGAGATAGGTCTTAAGGTGGGATTTAAAGATACATAAAGAGGAGAACCAGCAGGGAGTTTCAGAGCATTAGGGCTGCAGTGGCTAAAAACACAGCCACTGATTTCAGCCTAGGCTAAGCCCTCAAGTTCTGATGAGGGCTTGAACACAATAGCTTCTGACTCAGAGATGAGAGTCCTACCAGCTGGGCCAAACAGACACCTGTGCAAAGTGGATTGAGCTCTTCAAGATACAACTACTCTCAACTACACAATCCGAAGATTAAATAGTTGTCTCTTGGCACAGACCCATTACCGAATGACTTTCACTGAGAAAAACAGATATTTTGGTGAAACTCAGTTCAGAAAATGATTTCAATGGCCCTCACTTATAACCCTTTTAATCAATGATGAAGGCATAGGTTCCAGTCATTTAAGATTGTACATCTTCAAACAATATGAATGAATGAAATATCAAAGAAGGAGTCTGCAGGTAGCTGCAGGGCACTGATGCACTAACACAAGATACAAAGTAAAGGTAACTGATGGATTCAATATATCAACACGATACAGTAGTTTATATTTATATACAACTTGCATTTATATAACACCATTCAGGCAGGTAGCGTCTCGGAGCTCTTGTATAGTGCTTTTCATGTCCCAAAGAGCATTTATAGTGCTGGATGGGCACTCAAACTAGAGGTGGCAGTTGAGGAGGTTGGGAGAGGTGGGAGGGGAGCGTGACTGAAAGAGCAGTGAAAGAGGTAGGTCTTCAGAAGTGCCTTGAAAGAGGGGAGGGAGGGAATGAGCCAGAGGGACTTCGGGGTAGAATTCCAGTGAGTGGGGCAGAATAACTGAAAGACCACCTGACAATGGGGCTGGGGACATGAACTAGGCTGAGCGAAGGGTGAGGCTGGGTTGGTAGGGTTAAAGGAGTTTTAAAGAGATATGGTGGAGAGAGCACAGAGAGATCAAGGAGGAACAAGCTGACTTCCTCACAAGATCACAAAGTCAGTTGGACGAAGAAGGCCCTTTGGCTAATCTGATCTCATCCTTCCAGAATACCCACCCTACCATCCTCCCATCACAGTAAAGGGTGGCGTTGGAAGTGACTCAGCCTATTCAGTTCATAAGAGGAACAAGGAGAAAGCAGGCAGGGAGAATGCTAAAGCAGACAACAAGCAAACAGAAAAGAGGGATTTAAAAAAAATATATATTATGCATTCCTGCACCTTTATGTTATAAATGTTTTGAATATTAAACTTAGCTCCACTGAGAGTTGTATCTGGCTCATGCTTTTTTTCTACTGCTGTTTCTATTCTAGGTTTCCCATATACTGTACAAACCAGCTTTGTATTCTTGTGTTATCTGCACCATGGAGCTGTGAGTAAACACTGCTTATTACCTTATACTTAGGATCCCTTTCAGCAGACATTTTTGCACCCACCAGCCAAAGTGTGCCAGCACTGGAGTGAGCAGTGTTATCGGGTGTTAGCTGCATGGCTCAAAGGCTCCTCTGAAAAGTAGCACATCATTAGCAAGCTCCTCAGAACTATAAGTCCAGTTCTTAGGTCAAATTCAAAACAGATTAAATTGGATAAGGGGCTCAGTAGTCTTAAACAGGCAAATGGGAAAAAAAATAGGGATACACTTTTTCTCTTCTCAGTCTTGTTTGCAGCAACTAATGTTCTGGCATCACCTTCACTCCAAAAGGTTGCTGGATTGTGAACACGATATAAAGAGCTGGACTGCTGTGAATCGTTGAATTGCTGCATATAGAAAGTAAGACTAGGATGCACATGTATTACATGAATGTGACTTAACTTGCTGAAATGAAAGAAATCTTGGAGTCCTGTAGCTCAGTGGTTAGAGCACTCGCCTCACAAGCGAAAGAAACTGGGTTTGATTCCCGGGCAGGGAGAAATGTTGGGCAAGTTTCCTTACTCCATATGCCTCTATTTACCTAGCAGTAAGTAGGAACCTGTTTGTTAGTTGATTGGCGCATCGCTTTTCTGTGGGTAATAATAAAAAAAAATTGGTCACTCAAGAATGTGTTCACTCAATCCATGACTGTTTGTGGGACAGTGCTGTGGGCAATTGGCTGCCGCTTTTCGCCCACAAAACATACAGTCATTTCACTTTACAGTATATTCTGTGAAGCACTTTGAGATATCTTGAAGATGTGGCTGGCATAAATTGGCTCCTGCACTTGCCTACAAATGCCCAGTCACTATCCCTCAAAGTAAAATCCTGTGTAGGTGCTTTCAGATAACTTGATAAGATGCCAGCAATGCAGGGCTCCCCCAGTATGGCATTGGAGCTCAAAGTCCTGACATGGGCCTTGTTCTACATCCTTCTGCAACCTTCTAAATTAGGGGTCAGATTGTTACCAACTGAGCCAGGCTGAGAGCTGATGTTGCGCTTGTATCACAATTGTATCACAGCAGGAGTTGCTGCCTACAAGAGAAGGTCAATTGAGAGAAGCCTTTTAGAAGGCTTGGAAAGGAGAAATGCCAGCACACACTAATTGGGCTAACTGGCCTCTTTCTATGTAAATCTAAGTAACACAAGAAAATGATAACTAGCCTAATGCCCATTTCACCTTTATTTTACCCCAGTAATCAACAAGAGCAATCCTTGGCAGAGATGAAGCTGACTGTTTAGTTGCCACGCAGACATGTTTGTCATTCAAGGAGTGAGAGTTCACACCGATAAAATACTTGTCAGCACAAGTCATTGTTACTCTTCTTACCCTCTTCCTAATTTCAACTGGACAGATACCTGCAGGAGTTACACACTCTTACTAACATCATACATACTCCTACTAAACAGAGTTAGATACTCATTGACAAGAGCCACAAGCACCAAGACTGGTTGGGCTGCTCAACCCTCGTGTCAAGCATTGCAGTGGCTGGGAGTTAGCTCCAGAATTTCCTTGTGAACTACTCTAATTATTTCTCACATTTGTAAGTGATATCGTGTCAGATATATACATTTTTCAGTGTGATGGCATGAAACCTCAACAATATGGAGCAAATTGGTGTTTGCCACAGGT